TCAGGCCCGGGGGTGGGGTCCCTGTCAGAGCCCTGCAGCGAGCGAGCATCGGATGCCTACATGGCGTTCGACAGCGAATAGGAGTTGTCTCGAAGCAGCAGACGACGACCAGGAAAGAAGTACCAGGTGGCTGATTCACGCCCGCGCACTCCTGTAGTTATGCTGTACCGCATGCACGGGTGCGGGCGGGTTGCCTACTCGCTCGGCTCGTAAGGCGCCGTGGACATATAGGCAAGCCCGCCCGCACTCGTGCATGCGGTACAGTATACCCCATGGGAACAGAACCATCGAATCGATGTCGATGGGACGTGGGCGTCAACCGTGGATTCGATGAAGACCGTCGAGTCGATCATCCACGGGAAAACGGAAGTGGATTCCCCGGGGATAGCATATGGATGCATCCACTCGATCGTCCACTACATATCCACCAGCCATCCCCAAAATAAATTTAAGAAAACAAAACGAAAAATAAAAGTTTTTTTCGTTTGGTTTCATATTGTTTAACCTCCTTTTTGTTACACTTGAACCTTCTACTTAGTTTAAGTTACATTAAAGCGATTTTTTATTTACCTTTACCTGGAGTTGAACCCATGACCTTCCGTTCCGAAGCCGTTGACGCTGACCACTGCGCCACCGAGACATCTACTCAACCCACTCGACCGGGAGCTACCTATGCGGCAGGATACCCGGTGACCTCATCCACGACCGATCCACGTGGATACCACAGGGGTGGCAGAGTTGGATCATCAGTATCAAAATTATCGTGACATATGAGTCGGTTCTTTTCCAAGTTGGTATAGACACGACGAATGCAAGGCAAAAGTAATATCTACATTAGATGACTAACGGTCGTACCTATGTGGAAGTAAAATTATTTGTCTTTATTGAATGGTCTCAATGTAAGCAACGTTGCTATAATGTGGATGTATCTACAAAGATTGCAACAGGCGGTATCCACGTGAAAATCTCATATAATTTCGATGTAGATATTTCCCTATCGAAAGAATGTGGAGATGTAGGGGGTGTATCTACATAGATAACGGCAGAAGGTGTCCACGTGGAAATCCTATTTTGTGTCTACGTAGACACTTCCCTTTTAGAACCACGTGGATATGCTGTGGATGAATGGTGGATAGATCCTCATCCACGTGGTCCACGAAGATTTGGTCGAATCCACGTGGATGGGACGTGCCGTTCCCACCCCTACAGAAGTGCGCGGGCATGGATCAGCCACCTGGTACAAGAATATCGGTAATAGAATGAGAAATTGTGGCATTGACCAACCTATGGCCCGGCGGCGCGAGCTTCCAATCCCACCACCGTTTTCGGACGCCATCCGATGTTTGCTCGCTGCAGGGCGCTGGTCCCTTGGCGCTGGGCTGGGCCCCGCTACTGCAGGGTCGCGCTGCCCCTCCCGGCCCCGTGCGTGCCGTGCGCCCGATCGACAGTCGGCAGTGCCACTCATGAGTTGTTGTGCTTTCTCCGCCACGGCGTGATCTAGGGCCCGGGCGGGGCCGGCGACGGCTTTCCCTTCGTCTCATCGGCACGACGACGACGGGTCGCCGGGCACGACGCCCGGTGGCCCAGCTCGTGCGCCCTGGACGACGAATGCGCCGCCGCGCCCTTGGAAACGGGGCGTTCTCTCAGCGGGTGGGCCTCGCAGGCGAGGGTCCCCGCAGGGCGGGCAGAGGCTCCTGGAGGCCGGGGCGGCCCTGCGGCGGCGGCCAGGACGCTCCGGGCGGCGCGCTCCAATGGGGCCTCCGCCCAGCGAGGGCCGCCCTCCCGGACGCACCGGCCGCCCGCCGGGGGCAAATGAAGGGAGAATAACATCGCGCCAAATCGCCAGAGACACTCTGCATACATCCTCCTGGCTCCCCGCCGCCACCGCGGCCTCCCTCTTCTCCCCACTTCTTTTTCTCCCTCCCCACCTCCCACTCGGCTCGGGGGATGAATAGGACGGTGATCTCCATGATTACTCTTGCGGCTCAATTCCAGGGAAATGTGAAGCAGCGACAATCAGCGCTCCGCGTGATGGAGCTGCGCTGTGCGGTGTCCCCTTCCCTCCCTCGCCCCCGCGGCTACGGCGTGGCGGCGCTGGGTGTGGGGCGGCACTCAGCCGTATCACTTTGAGCAGAGCAGCAACACCACCACACCTGCTGTTTTGATTCCACAGATGCAATGCCGAGGCGGGCGAGCTGGTGCGAACAGGAGTGGGAGAGTGCACCCGGTCGTGGTGGTGGTGTGAACGACAGGAGGACGGGTGGGTAGAGACAGACAGACACACTTGGGTACTCTGCACCCCAGTTTATTCAGCGCGTTCTCATTTCTCTCTCTCTTTTTTTACAAAAATAAATAATAGCACAGCCTGTGAAGGCGCTCGCAGTGGGTTAACGACACGACGGGCCGCTGCTGCTGGGCGGGGGCCGCTGGGGGGCAGGAGGGGACTAGAAGGGCTTTCAAATAAATAAGGGGCAATAAATTAATTAGCAGCACTCGAGCCAAGGACGGTGAGGAGGGCTGGGCTGGGCGAGTGCGGCGGCGGGGGGCCGGGTGGCGGCTGCGGTGCGCGGCCTCGGCGGCGCGGGTGCACGCCCACGGCCGCCATCTCTTTGGTTCTCTCGGTGCTCGGGGCGAGCGGCGCCGGGGTGGGCGACGCTCCTCAGGCTCCACAGACTCCGCAGACAGCGCCTGGACAGTGTCGCGTCCTCATCGGCGGCGTCCTCGGTAGGCCAGGTCCCGGCCGTCGCGCTCCTGCACGTGGTCCACGTGGTACACGTCGTAGTTGATGATCTCCTGCACGCAACAGGGCAGAGGTTACAACGACGTCGGGGAGGTGCTGGAGGGCGTCAACTCCCCGTTTGGTCCACCTTATTCACCGCTCACCCCTGTAAAGTCTCTGAGTGTCGATCACTTTTGTCTATTGTTGCTGGTGTGCGCTGTAGGCCATGTCGTCGGCCGATCTAGCCGCCGCGTAACTGTGGTGGTCGTAGTGGTCGTAGTGGGCGTGGTCGGCGGCGTGGTGGTCGATGTGGTGATCGTAGTGGCCGTGGGACTGCGGGTAGTGGTACACGTCGTAGTTAACCACCTGGAGGCAGGAGGCAGAGGTCTCGCGTCAGCTAAACTCCACGGCAAGAAAATCGCGAGGAATTCCTTTTTTTGGTCGCTCTCACTATACATCTAGACAAGACTAATATCAGAAACACAGTTAGTTCTCCGCAGCTACAGCAAGCTAAAGCGCTGGAATTCCTTCGATTTCCATACCCCTCAGTTTGGCTAGTACTTTATTTTTTAAATGACACAACCCAGCTGGCCGGCGGTGCGAAGCAGAACGCCCCCGCTGGCACAGCGCCAATAGGTGTATGTGTGCAGGCCCAGCGTCGCCCCGCCCCGCCCACGCCGGCTGTTTGGCAGTGCTAGCGGCGTTATTGTCTCGGACACCATTGGCCGGGGCCCAGTGAACGAGCGACCGACCCAGAGAGTGTGAAAATGAGCGTAATGGAAGCGAGTTCATCGTGCGAGTCAGTGCATTTGGATAATTGGGATAGTTAAAACTGTATGCTACGAACAAGCGCCCTTCTCTGCGCCCGTTACAACAGCGACGAGAACATTTCCTCTCACACCTGCGCGAGGCATGGAACCAGCGTACCTTGGGCTTGGTGAAGCGGAAGATGACCATGGCCGCGGACAGCACGAGGGACAGGAGCCCGAGGGTGAGGGCCTTCCAGGTCTTGAGCGCGATGAGGGACAGCGCCATGGGGATGAGCACCGTGGACTTGAACTTGAGTCCAAGGATGAACGGAAGCACCACCTTTTTCAGGAAGCCACCTAGGATTAAGAGATTAGACAAATGTGAGTAACAGTTTTTGACGGTTTCTGATATTATTCAGAAATGTGAGATTTATCTATTGGAACAGAGGTAAGTGAAACTTACGCTTTCTTCGGTGGCGCGCTCCGTCCTCGCGTTCGGGGTCCAGGGGCAAACGCAGCTCGTCGGGCAGAGCGTTCTTGACGACGCTGGGAACGGCCTCGGCCAGCTCCCTGGGGACGGCGACGCGCACCTCGTGACTCTGCAGGAACCGCTCCACGGCGTCCAGGCGCTCCAGGACCATCTGGCGGAGGGCGTCGCCGCGCAGAGAGGAGGGCGCCTCCTCCAGGAGACCGTCCTGGAGAGGCAGGGAGGACAATCAGAAAAGACCTCCAGCGAGGATGGATCTCCATTTACAATCGGTAACAGTAACCGCCAGGCCCCTTCCACATCCCCTTCGACATTTTTTTGTTATCATAAAAAGAAAGGCAAAAACATAAAACCGCACCAAAAGCCGATAAGCTAGTTCGGTAAGCCCTCTTCGTAAGCCTCTGCCAGGGCGCCTCTAAGCGGAAGTGGCACAGGAGAGGGATAGGGGAGTGGGAGGGCGTCCTGTTTCGACGGGCTTCAGACGCTTCAATCAACTCTGCGCCATCCAGCGAGCCACCCCAGAAGAGCAAAGCCGCGCTGCGTCGCCGCGTCATGCCGTGCCTTGCCGCGCCACGTGCAGGGCTGACGAGCACCTCATTTGGGCTTGGTGGTGCTTTGTTCGTCCTTAATCGATTCCATCCCCTCCTCCCCACCTCCGCGCCGTCACCCAGAGCCTATGGTGGGTAAACAGGACTCTGATTCTACCTGGGGAGCTGGCGGGAGCACGCTCAAAGATGGCGAGGGAGCTGAAGGTATCTAGCGTGGTGGACGTCGTGGCTGCCCCTTGGGACCTCCACCCCCTTTCACTTGCCTGGTTGTCGGCGTCGAGCGAGTTGCCGTCGGCGCACGGGATGACGGAGAGGTCGCGGGTGATCCGGATGGCCTTGTCGGCGCGCTGCTTGGCCTCGGCGAGGAAGGCGAGCACCCGCGGCCGCACGCAGGCCACCGAGCCCCGCTGCAGGCACTCGGCGTACACCTGGCGCGCCACGTCCACGGCGGTCTGCTCCTGCTGCTGCGCCTGCACGGCGGCCAGCAGAACGGCGGGGATCACCACGGCCAGGAGGAGCCGCGCCATGGTCACTGGGTGTCGGGAGAGTCCGGCGGGAAGTGCGGCCGGCACCGCGACGGCCAGCACTTTATACGGGCCTGCGGCGGGGGCGGCGGGACAGGTAGCGGTCGCACCGGCCGGGCG